AAAACATTATTTTTGTTTACAATTTGCATAATGCATTTTTTTTTTGTAAAGTAAAACTGCAACAGGCACTACCTTTAAACTACTTAGTATTCTTGTACTGCGCACTTTATCCTTTCTTGTTACCCCAGCAATCATCCTCAGCATTCTCATCTCCATGGTTTGTAGACTTCTCTCGTCTGATTCTTTGGTTGGCCATGTTTCCGAACTATATAGAATAGTTGGTTGTATTATGGAACTGTAAATTTTTCCCTTTAATTTGTGTGGGATTCTTTTATCAAATAGCACTCCAGATATAGATCTTCACTTTAGCCACCCTTGATTAATCTTGCTCTTTATCTCTTTTTCTATTGTGCCGTTTGTTTGTATAGTGGAGCCCAAATATTTGCAGCTTTCAATTGCCGATATCTGCCATTCATTTATATCAATACTCTCTGTTTCATCTCCTCCTATCACCATATACTCCGTCTTTTCTCTATTTACTGCGTTTCTAGGATATTTATCCAACTCACTAGTCTTTCTTTCATTTCATTCTTAGATTCGGCAAGTATCACAATATTCCACGGGACTGTTTGAGGTATAGACTGTGCTAATACATCTATTACTGTAATGAAGAGAAGTGGGCTGAGAGCCGACCCTTGATGCTTCGGCTATTGTGTAGCCTGCTGAAGTACCTGTTGTGCTACGGACCATTGTTGTATGGCCCATATACATATCCTGTATTATTCTTATATATTTTTCGGGAACATTTTTTCTAGATCGAGAAAGACCATGTTTCCCTGTATTTTTCACTCATTTGCCTAATTGCGTGGATAGCATCAGTTGTTGATCTTCCAGGCATAAAGCCAAACTGAGTCTCTCCTATTTCGATTATGTCTCTTAATCTTTTTTCTATTATTTTTTCGTATAGTTTTAGACAGTGTGACATTAGTTTTATGCCCCTGTAATTTTGACAATTATGTGGATCCCCTTTATTTTTGAAGATAGGAACTAGATAGCTCTGCCTCCATTTTTGGGGAACCTCTTCATTTCCAAGTATCTTATTGTATAGATTTGTGAGGAGATGTATTCCATCATCTCCTAGTGTTTTAAAGCTTTCTATTGGAATATCGTCTGGACCCCTAGCTTTGTTGTTTTTCATGTGATTATTTCTTGTTGTGTTATAGGTTGTACAAGGACATGGGGAGTGTTCGTCTAGATGCAGTATGTGCGGATTAAAGTTGAGAAGCTCCTGAAAATATTCTCTCCATCTACTCATTATTTCTTTTTCCTTTATTATCAATTTCCCATCTTTATTTTTGATTACTTTCGGAGCTCCGTTTATATCCCTAGAGTTCTTTTCTCGCTGTTTGGCTTATCTGTATATTTTATTTTGCCCTTCGTATGTAGATTTCGTACATGTCATCGTATGCCATAGATTTGGCTCTAGCCACCGCTTTTGTAGCTAATCTCTTGGATTTTTTGTATCTTGTCTTGTCATCTGCGTTTTTGGATTTGTACCATATTTTATAAAGGGCTTTTTTCTTCTGTATAGTGGTTTGTACCTCTTCATTCCACCACCATAGTTCTTTATATGATTTGTTGCCTCCTCTTGTCAAGCCTAGTGTCGATTTGGCAGTGTCTATTAATCTGGATGAAAGGTCTGTCCATATTTTTTCACTGACTTGTGAGGAATCTATTGTTTCAATGTTTGCATTGATTGCAAAGGCATCTGTCATTGTTTTTAATTTGCCCCATTTGATGCATGGTTCCAGTTTTATCTTGTTTTGAGTGGATTTATTTGAGATGTGTAAATCCATGACTAGTAGCTTGTGTTGTGCGGCGATATCTTCTCCTGGGATGACTTTGCAGTCTATTACATCTTTTAATCTTCTGCGAGAGATTAGTATGTATTTAATCTTCTGCGAGAGATTAGTATGTAATCTATCTGTGTTTTCCTTGTACCACTTTCGTATGTTATTAAATGACTATCCTTTTTCCTATAGTAGGTGTTGGTTAAGGCAAGGTCGAAGGCTTGCGCAAATTTCAGTATATGCTCTCCTTCATCATTTCTTTCTCCATATCCAAAACCACCATGATGCCTTTTGTAGCTATCTCTTGCTTTCCCCACATGCGCATTTAAGTCACCACCAATTATGACTAGGTCATCCTTAGGGATTTCCATTACAGCTTCATCGAGGATAGCTCTAAAATCATCTTTCTCTTCTTCTTTGCAACCCGTTTGAGGAGCATATAATGAAAGGATGTGTAGTATTGATTGACCAGTGCAGAGTTTTATCTTCATTAGTCTATCAGAGATCCTGTTGACTTCTACAACTGAGGAGGTTAGATCTTGACTGAGGATGATGCCGACACCGTTTCTATTGCTAATAAGTCCATTATAGTACAATTTATACCCATCTCCAATCATCAAAGTCTTCTGTCCTTTCCATTTCGTCTCTTGTATACACGCTATATCAACTTTTCTCCTGTTCAACATTGATGTCAATTCTCTCGTCTTACCTTTAAGCGTCCCAATATTCAAACTTGCTAATCTTGTTTTCTTTGCTTTGACCTTTACTTTTCACAGGATGGAGGTCTACACCCTGCGCGTCGCATGGAGGGAACGCCCTAGCTTTCATAATCATATTTTCATTTGTGTCCTTCATTTTGTTTATTGGACAGGTATCCTTAGCAACCGGCTGTCCAGGCCTGTCGGTGACCGGGGTGTCATCTCTAAGCTCCGAAATTCATCATACCATATGTCTTACACATCAGTCATCGAAGAAAAACTTGAAAGTTTTTATGGTTCTTACCAGGATTGAACCAGCGTCCTTGTTCATACTCGTGTTTCCAAGCGTACATCTTACCCATTAGGCCACCCCGGCGATGTAAAAATATATAAATTTAAAATAAAAACTATATAAAACATTTAAAAACAAATAAAAATTAAAAATGGAGGACGAATATAAAAGAAATTAAAGGGGAAATGTATTAAATGTGTCAGAATAAGAGATGCACCGATCCCACTATTTTGCCAATACCAATTTTTTAAACTAAAATAATAATAAAAAAACTTACGTTCATCTTAAAATTTAAAGAAAAAGAATAACGAAATTTTTTGCCAGTCTTAATTTCCAAAAAAGCCCTTAAATTCAACGAAGCTTGTACTCATAATTTAGATGTTTATTAGCTTCATATTTAATATTAATTCCGAGATAAAATTTTAAAAGATGAAATAAAAAAATAATTAAAAAGGCTTTCTTTATTATTAATATCGGTTTATGATCGTTATTATTTAACCCTTGCATTTATAGGCCAAAATATAACCTACCACAATTTTTTAATTCTTGCATTAGTACAAAATTTATCCCATCTTTAAAATATATTTATTTCATTTTTAAATATACTTAATACATTATTTTTTCTAAAATAAATAAAGTATATTTAATATTTTTTTTAAAAAAATCTCGTTATTGAGAGTTTTATTCGTTTTTGTTTTTCCAGATTTTTCAATTCAATTTGTTATTATTGTAACATTTTGTACATATATTACCTCAACATTGATAACTCATTATTTTTATATATCATGCATCCTATTTTTAATCATTATATTATTTATAATGGGTTTCAATGTCCCACTATGAAGAATGCGGTCAACTGATGAAATAAAATTATATTGATGAATCCTCTGGTTCAAAAGATTTTCCCACATATTGGGAAAAAGATCCTCGATAATTCCTACACCACCTATTGACTTTAATAAACGTATAAGCCGAAAAAATAAGAGATGCTGAAACTCCATAAAAAATAATTCAAATATTTATATCATTTTTGACATTTCAAGCTAATTTATAATTTATATGCAGGCCAAAGTATGAAACGGTAAAATAAATATTTTTTTCATTATAGTTATTATTATTTTATAGATTTTCAGCCTACTGGTATTATTGGAGCATAATGCCCGATCACATCAATATATAGCCAAACTAATGCCTTTAAATAGGTTTGAATGGCTTCTTCTCCACATGCATACAAACTATAATAATACTTTGGCTCGTCAATGCGAATCTTCTGATTTCGATAAACTTTACAAAGTCCGACAGACCTTTTAGGACTATGAAAAACTTTAGAAAGACTAGTATGCTGGTAGTAATAAAAATAAAGTGCTTTGGAGATTAGGAGATGTGCATCACATTACCTATAAGATCAGAGCAAAGGAGAAGATATTCTCATTGCTCAACAGTTATCAATGTACATCGCCCAGATTAAATATGCTCAGTATGTGATGTGGCGTTATGTCTCCCTCAAATTCAAAATTGTTTTAAAACGTATCATTAATAATAAATCGTAAATATGCTTATATGCACAGTATGATAGCAGATGCCCCACTTTAATTTTGGTAATATCTTATGAAATATTTTTTTATTTTTAAAAATAAAATTATAACGTTAATGAGATTTTTGCCATATATTATCAATAAAAAATTTTATCTATGCAAAATTGAACTTTTGGTAAATTTCTGTGCATGAAAGGGTTAAAAGTAAAAATATTAAACATTTAATAAACGGAGCCTAATATATTAAACGCTTTCTTAAATTAGTAGACAGATTTTTTTGCTTATAAATTCAGGTTTAATAGCCCAATTTTTATTTTTTATACAGGGAAAATTATTATTTTGGGTATGTGCATATCTGAATAGAATGATAGATAAAACTCCCCTTAACCCTGGCTGATAAAGTATTACATTATGATAAATTCATAACTACACAATAATAGTAAAATTAAAATATACAAAAACAAACAGGCCTATTGGTAAATGTTGTCACTTTGTAAAAACAATGGATAAAATATAAATATTTAAGAAAGATTTTTTATAACTTCAGCAATATTTTAAAATATTAATTCCCCTTAATTATGTTCTTGATGAACCATTTATTAAACCTTTTTAAATGCAAACATTCTTGTATCCATTTTAATTTGAAAGATTAAGAAAATAAAAATATAGAACATAGCACAATAAATTTGAACAATGTCTTATCGCATCAGTCTATTATTATATTAGTATTTGTATACATAATTATCTATAGTTTCATTGGTAGGATGCAGATAGGGGTTTAAGTTAAACTGCGGGCTAAAATTCGGGATATTCAAGTAAAGTTTTAAACACGTGTTTAGTATTTCTTCATTGTATCCAACAACCTGATGTAAATAAATATAAAAAGACGCATTTCATGCATAAAATTATTGCCTAATAAAATCTTTCAAAGAATATCACTAAAATACCTGATCATTTTGAATGGAGTCAAATAACTTCATTTCTTTCGAATGCCAACATACGTTTCGGCGATCGTTGAGTGAATCATCTATGTCAAAAGAATTTTCATTGTCTTTTTTAACAAAATCGATATAATCTTCATCTTGACATCGCAAATCCATCGGATAATCTTTCATCCATAGATGGTTGGTATTGAGCTGATATAGATAAAAATTCCATAACTTTCCATCGGTATTAATTGATTGAGTGACTAAGGGATATGTTAGTTCGTTGAAAGAGGTATAGCCTTTTGCGTTAAAATTTTTTTAAATAAATTGAAATGTGTTGATTTCAATTAGTTTAATCGTTAAAATAAAGGAAAGTTCAGGTTATGCATAATATTTAAAGTCTTTTTATAAAAATCAAAAATATTCTTACTCACCATAAAAAACTAAAAGATTTGCATTTCTTTCTGACCATAAAAATATGATTTGCATATTTCCCGTCTTTTTTGTCACTTTCATCCCCTTTTTTTAAATTATCTCCTTAGTGGAAGAGAATCTAAGGGAATGAAATAAATAGAAAGGAAGACGATGGAAGGGAAGAAAAATTTATATTTTATAACATTAATCTCACCCAGATAATGTGATATAGAATTAAGCCATGCGAAAGAATTAACGACAGAAGAGGCGTGAATTTTGTCCAACACCGCTTTTGTATGATACCCAGATTCCTTTAAGCTGTAGGTCGCGTCTTTAAGACTTTGGTCTCTTAGCTCCTCTGTATCATAAGAACTTTTTACAGATATCCCTGGTTTTGTGTTAAAGACATTAGTTATTCTATAAGATAGGAATGGAAATGAAGGTTTTGGGTTTGTGTGGGCATTCTTGATTGCGTCTTCACGTAATATAGCTTCCTTAGCATCAGTTTTTGTGCGACCAAGGTATTTGGAAAAGGAGAAATAGTATTTAGAATCGTGGTGGGGTAAAAATCCTGCCAAAATGTGTTGTTTTTAATATTAAAAAATATTGTCAAACGGAAAAATATATTAAATAAGATTGTGCCGGACACATGTTTATATTGACAAATTATATGTCAAGCAGTGGTCAATTAGGATATTTTTTCAAATTAACTTATATTAAGAATTTACCATAATTCCTTCAAAAATAAAAATACCAGAAAATTTAAAGAAAAAAATTGACAGAGTAATTAGTCAATAAACTTTCAAAGTTTTCAAATGATACTAACTGCAGAATTATATTTTCTTCAACACCCCCAAGAGAATATGGATATAAATTTAAATACCCATCCAATTTAAATAATTATTTTAAAAATAAATCCTAATATAACACTATACTACCTTTTAGGGTGCACCAGTTGGAAAACTTTTTAGTAAGGCTAAAAATATACTTAAACAGGATGACGATGAAAACTATGAGAATTTTTAAAATCAAATTCAACAATAATTATATAATCATTTAAAATTATATATAAATAAAATATATAATTGAATAAAAAATGTTTGATTCACAGTTTGAGTTTTAATAATAGACTATTAATTTTGATATTATGCATATCTTACATGATTATAACAAAAAATGTATCTATATTAAGATTCATTTTGCCATATAATTGTATCTGTATACCTTTTAGACAATGATCAATATCTCGATAAAAACATTTTAGCGATCAAAGATTCTTTTATTTATTTTAAAATACAGGAATATTAAATATAATATACAAATTCGAAAAAAATCATAGATTTAAGAATTATTTTTTTGTGGAAAATGAAATAGAAATGGCTCAAATATTTTCTCAATAATAATGACATCTCTCCTTATTATCTTGATACTTGACTCCTTATGGTTGTTTGCTCTGCCATTTTTAAAAACCTATAAAATGTATTTGAACGTAACACTCCATAAAGTGGTCAATTAATGGTGGTAAATTTAAAAACTGTTTTTATTGTATGAGAATTTCAATTAATAGCGTATGTAAATAATTTATACCTGCATCATTTGTATTTTATCTAGGCATTTGTACCTACCTAAATAAAACCCATAGATTTAAAAAAAAGAAATTAAATATTTATATAAAAATGTTAAAAATGAGGATCTATTTTGATGACTTTTTAATAAAAATAGGCTGGACAATTTATAATTAATTGAACATTTTTAAATTTTTTTAAATATAGATGTTTAATTTAATAAATTTTCCAGTATATCTGACTTAAAATGAAAAACCTGGAGAAAAAAATTATTTGTGTAGATCCTTTTTAGACGAAGTATCTATTAGATAAGTGTTGTCAAAAGCAACTTTTATAAGTAGCGCGATATCACTACCGCTATTTTACAAAAAATGTAGCGCGCCATCGTTAACGCTGCCGTTTTCAAAAAAGTAGCACGCTATTAGCTAGATTTTTTATAAAAAGGTTTTCTATGTATCTTTATTTCCACAAATAAAAAATATGACTAAAATTTCAAATATATAAATAATTTATTTATTTTTTATTGCATCTCAATAATAACATTTCTATACTGTTATCCCTAAGTCTAGAACAACGATCAGAAAGTATAAGTTATGGCTGTACGATCGTTAGTGTTAAATAAAATATACATATTTTTTATATAAGAAAAATCATCAAAAATATTTATATGAGTTTTTTTGATTTTAAAAAAATGCGCCTAAAGCATTTTCAATAGTATTATTAATTATTTCAAAAAATTATCTATAAGTAGGTGGCGTTTTTGATAAGTCTAAAATTATAATAGTAATAGTTAGAATAAAAATTATGTAGGGGAAAAGTGAATGGCCATGTTTGCCCACTGGCCAGGCCACCACCCTTTAACTTTATATCTATTGAACCAATTTCTCCCAAAATTGGTTAAAATGTGAAAGGATTGAAATAATTATTTTTTAGCATGTTTTGATAAAATTTATAAATAGATGAGTAGTTAATTTTAAGCATGTTTAATATCCAGATAATAATTTATAAAATATTATCATTAAATAGATTAATCTGCTGATAAAATGAAATATTAATATAAATTATTCATTATATTTTTTTTTATATAATTCATGATTAATATCTTAAGGCTAGTTGAAACATACCATGTTTGGACTGGGCTAAAATATCAACTTTCACATAAACTCAGCTAGCTCAAAGACTATTACAGATATAACATTGATAAATTTTATTTTAAAAATTAAGGATTGGGCTACACATTCTAAACCTCTAAAAATTGTGAATCTCGCTTATATGTCCTATCAAATTTTAAAAGTAACATCGAAAATAATATTAATAGTGTTGTATGTCGATTTGTAATTGACATATGGATGTTTTGTAATTATATTTTCGAGAAAAAGATAATTTGATTTAATTATTGCAATTTGTTTTTATTATGTTATTGTTATGGAATTCATAGAGATAGTATTATCATGGTATTTGAGTGCCGTTTTTTCAACTAGGATGAGATATATGCAAGAAGATACAACAATACATTGGAAAACCAATAAACACAGCCAAAATAAAAAGGTAAAAGATTCATATTTGTATGAAATGTATATAATTAAAAATAAGAAAGTAGATAAAAATTGGAATAGATGAAAGGGAAGAAAGGAAAAAAGAGAAGTTTAAATGTAATTGTTTAAAAAAAAATTAGGGTATATGTAATGCATTAATTTAAATAAAAAAATATATTAATAGAATTAAAGTTGAATAAAGAATAGAAATTTATAAATTAATAGAATTGGTTAAAAATTGGAAATTTATATGAGTGTAAAAAAACATGTTGATAATATTGATGCAAAATGAAAAGTATTTATATTAATTAAAATGAAAGAATGCAATGTAAAAATAGTGTGTTAAATTCCAGATATGAAGTTTGGATGAAGAATAATTAGACGGTTGAGCTAAAGAACATAGCAAGAATGATTAAAAGTTAGGAAATAGTTAGGTATTGAGCAAATTAAAATTTAAGATAAACAATAAGGTATTGGTATAAAAGGCTTCAATTGTCTTAATTGCGCAAATTAAAATATGTGATAAAAAATAAAACATGGGTTAAAAAGAGTTTTTTTTTGTTCTAGGTTTATTTTAGAGGTTGGTATATATTAATGGAGGAACCATTATATGTTACTGTGATAAAGGTTTACTTTTAAAGGTTGGTGATATATAAATGGAGGAATTATTATATATTACTGAGATAAAAGTTTACTATTGGAATAGTTTTTTGGGGACCATTGGATATGGTGTAGGTAGTAATAGTTTCTGTATTATATGTTTTGATTTTAACTATAAACCAAGTGTTTTGATAATAAGTTTTATTTTGTAAGCTTTGAGACTTATTGAATGAAGAAAAGGTATCCATCATAGGAAATTACTTAATGTAGGACAGAAAAGATTGTTTATAATATTTAAATTTTGGGATTATAATTAGCATGAATAAATATTTTTTGAAGTATAATGTTAAGAAAAAAGGGAATATTGTGTATTGATTTTTAAAAAATGATGAAATGAAAATTATGAATTATATTTAAGAAAAAGATGAAATCAAAATTATGGATGTGAAATATATAAAATGAAGAATTGACAAATTCAATATAAAAAATAGTATGATTAAATAAAAAGTATGGCAAACCCCAAATATGAGAGTTAGGAATAAAAAGAAGTAGTTAGATATTGAATATGTGCTAAAGAAATAGTTTAAATTTTTAAAAAGAAAAATAATGTTAAAAGTTTATATATACATAGGTAATATTGTATATCTAAGTAAGGTGAATTAATAAAAATATTTTTAATTTTATATGTATAAATGTGGATTTATATATGTAAAGGATAATAATCTAGGGAGCCATATATTAGAAAATTTTTATTTTTAAAATTTTGGAGGTTATGTAAATGAAGAGAATTAGCCATTTGATATTATTTTAGACCCAAGGAAGGAAAGGAGTGCATCATATAATAAAAGGTCTAATGTGAATATTGTGATCTAAAATTTTGTGTTCAATCAAATTTATGATTGATAAATGAGAAGTGTTTCGATAATGTTAAAAGAATAAAAATACATTAGGATATAATTTGAAAAAAAAACACATTTGATTAACCTACTTATTGCAAATATTCTGTCCAATCAACTACAATGGTGCTGAATTAATGCAAGCCCACAATAGAATGATGATTCAACAAGATGAAAGGTGGCTGAGAACTATGCAATTAAAATAAAAAAATCATCAAGCTATGACCTGTTCAATCAACTACAATTATGCTGGATTAATGACACCAAGCCTTAGATAGAATAATCATGATTGACCAATGATGGATCGCTATGACCTACTAACTGTTAAGATTTAATGACAATTAATAAATATGATCAAGGAAAAAAATATGGAACTTCCTGGAACAGATAAAGAAAATAAATAATAATAATAATTTTTATTTTTTTTAGATCATTTATTCGAATTTATGTAGACATTTACTTGAATTATATATTTATGCGTAAATTGTATTTCTTCCCCCAGTTTGATTTCTCAAGAAAGGGGGGCGTGTTGCCTTGCATCTATTGATTTATAATAGACATTTATGGACGTTTTGTAAATATATTGTCGAGAAGAAAATAATTCGATTTTTATAATTATTGTCGGACATTTTGTTTTTATTATGTTATTGTTATGGAATTCATAAAAATAAAGATAAAATTATTATGGTATTTGATAAATAGATGTTAGTATTTAAATTGTTTTTAAAAATTGATAAAAATGGAGGAAATATTATCATTGTAAATTGGGAATATTGATAATTTCCCTCATTTTTAGCGATTTTTTAAAAAACTCAATTTAAAAGTGCTTACTTCCATGGCATCTATTAATATTTATTTATAATTAAAAATTTTCCAAGAGATAAAAACGGGACTCCCAATTGTTTTTGCTATATTACTTTTTAAGGTTGTGCCGATCCATAAATTTTTCACCGATATGATTTATATTAAATTTTA